AGTATTCTAAAAATTTAAATATAACTCAATTCAGTAAACACGTTTCTAGATCTCTCTCGAAGGCTTTATTGAGTAATTGTATAGTTTAACAGCGCTGCTTACTGAAATATTGTGTAGTATATTGTACTTGAAGTACTTGTACACCATTTTAAAAAAAAGGTTAATGGGAGTACAGCCGTCACGCTGTTTGCTTTCCCCTTTTCCTTCCCTTTATAAAGTCCTTAAGAACATTCTCGTGTCCTTGTCACTTTGAGGAGAACTGCTACATTATCCAATAATATACGCACTTTAAGGCCATGATGGCATGCACTCTCCCTTAGCAAAGCAAAGTTAATATTTTGTTTAATTCCTACAAGAGAGAAAATTTAAGTAGTCGACTACCGAAGTGCAACAATGAAAGAGATGTTAAATACCTTTAAATTCCGGTTATGAGCCCTGGGCCTATATATTCAAATTCATAAGGGATTTTGGATGGGGGTTATAAACCGGACGACATGCATCCGGGCGGCTTATAAGCAACGTAAACAAAAATAAAAGTTTGGAAGTGAGCAGATGAAACCAGCTAGCCTTCAGTGGTATTTTATCTTTTTGGGAACATGAACCACCAAGCACAGCTAAGAAAACAAATACAGGAAGCACAGAGTTCATTGTATGGAGCTTACTTGTACTGGCAGATGCCAGAGATACGGGTTGGGCACAAGTAAACCTTTTGAAATTGAATAAAGATTAATCCTTTTTTCAGAGCTGCTCTGCATGTCGGCTTTTGATAATTGTTGCACACTTAAAACACATTTGTCGACGGTATTTGACAGAATGGTAAGAAGTACATCGTTCCTCATTCTACTGGTTATTTGATAGTGATCATATTGTTAAAAGAAGAAAAAGTAAAGGAGGGGTAACATCGGTGGGGGGAGGGGGGAGGGGGAGGGGTTGGGACTTATAACCGGAATAGTTTTTTTGCTTGTTTATAGGTGGGGATATAAGCGGGGTAGCTTCTAAATGGGGCGGGGGAGGGGGTAATGTGCCAAAACACTTCAAATTGGGCTTATATGCTCTAAACTATGTGACAGAATTTGAATATACTTATTTATTACACGACCAAGCTAATTCAGAGGGCCAATGATTACAATCAATCAATTAGATTGCTCCATTGCCGGTCCCGAGGATCGCTCTTAAGTCTGACGATTTTCAGGTAGTCGTATTGCTCACGTTTGTGGAAGAACCTTCTTTAACATTAGTGATTGGATTATTTTTTTCTTCAAACTCAGCTCTTTTCCTTCCGTGTTGCTTAACATCAGACGTGAGTATACGCCCAGTCGGATTCCAATCAGAATTAAACGCTTGAAATTTGCGATGTTTTGCCGGTCCGTGATCGTGGTATTTTCTATTAGCGTTTTCAGTCGTGTAATAACTCTCTTATTAACTGCAAGAAATATATATTTTCTAGATACTTATGGACCCCATGCCTACCGATAAGATTGACTTTTATCAGGACATCAAGCTTAGCCCCAAATAGTTAAGATCTATTACAATGAGGTCAGTGAAACTGACGGAACATCGTCGTCCTCGTTCTCGTCATTATTCATCGTTATCGTTTATCGTCACTGTTGGCATAGCCGTCGTCATCATATCAGACGTCATTCCCAAAGTATTTTACCATCGTCATCATAATCCTCATTGCCATCGTCATTATCATAGTCGCCATCGTTGTCTTCATCCTCATTTTCATCATCACTTTCATCGCCATCGTCATCATACCTGCGCACATCGTCACCCTCATCATTACCGCCATTATCACCGCCATCATCACTGTCACGATCATCCTCGCGGTCACAACAGCATCAGAATCACAATAGTAGTCGTAATCGTCGTCGTCGTCGTCGTCGTCATGGTCATGGTCATGGTCATGGTCATGGTCATGGTCATCGGCATCGGCATCGGCATCGGTATCGTCATCAGCATCGTCGTCGTCGTCGTCGTCGTCATCACCGTCGCCGTCACCATCTCCATCATCGTCACCATCACGGTCACCGTCACTGTCGTCGTCACCGTCACCCTGAGCACCACCGTCACCGTCACCGTCATTGTCAACGTCATCGTAGAAGTGGGTTTTAACTCTCGCTCAACAGAGCGAAAATGACACCTGGGTGAATGAATACTGCACACCTATTTTTAAGTATGCTGAGCTACATAATTAAGATTCATAAATGACTAATTGCTATATAGTTTTCTTTTGACCTTATACATGCACATTTTACTGAATCTATAGAGATTTTGCTAGTTTTAGTTGCCTAAGGAACTCTTTGATAACAGTTTACGCTGACAAGCTTACTCTCGTTATAAAAGTCATTATTGCATGATTATTAACCAATTAATTACCATTGAATAGAAATCGTATTGGTGCCAGAAACATCGTGTTAGGAGTTCACGTTTTGGTTGTACTTTAAATTCATTTAGACACGCATTTGTTGGTTCAAAATAATTATCTAAAATTTAAAGCAGGACAAGATTAAACTATGAGTAATCAAGCGTAGTCATTGGCATTAAGCTATCAGTATACTTAACCAAGGATATAAGCCTAAAACTCTCAAACTAAATCTGAAGGCATACCTCTAAGAAATGGCATCTCCAAACAATATCAAGAAGTTCTAAAGTTGTTGTTTATGTTATGTCCTTCGTCTACTAGCTCACGGTGTTTATACTATCAGGCCGGTTTTCACGCGATTGCCGGAGTATTCTTATATTTTTTCAGTAACTAAACTAACACTGAGCAAATCTCCTGTACCAAGTTGACACTTCATCATTCAGAGGAAAATGATTCAAGACGAGACCTTACCGAGTAGTGTTCAATCCTAATTCCACTTCAAATTTGTGGGCAAATCTTCAGTCAGTCAATCTACAGCATTGACATGGAAACCAGCCTTAATCTACCAGCGCGTTCTACATAATGACGGTGGATTACAACTTTGTGTCATATTCCAAGGCTCCATCCGAGAAAGATGCCTCGTCTGTGGCTGTCTGCAACGTTTCACAGCCGCTTTTGTCGTCATCACATCCAACGCCAAGGGCATCCTTGGAAGGATCTAAAGATTGCTTATCTGGTCCTAGCTGGCATTCTTTTCTGGGTTCCTCTTCATCTTGATCTTGTGCTGGTTTGCAAGAAAAATATATAACAAAAGTTATGGTTAACATTTTCAACAATTAACGTCGCGAGCCAGTCAGTTGCATTAGTCAGTGAAAGACAAAAAAATCAATCAATCAATCAATCAATCAATCAATCAATTAATCGATCGATCAGTCAGTCAGTCAGTCAGTCATTCAGTCAATCAATCCATCAATCCATCTATCCATCAATCAATCAATCATTGGATGGATGG